AAGGCTTGTCATTTGTTGCCGTGCAATTCACATGCAATCCATATGTGAGTTTGACTTTCTAAATTAACTTTTTAGCGTTACATTAATATTTAACAAATGAAAATTTCATTATCATTACTAATATTTTGAATTTTTACGATCCTTTTTGTGTTAAAGGTGATAGGAATGAGTTTAAGAAACGAGCTTCGAGGGCCATTATCAAATGCTGATGCCTGGTGCTATTATGTGAGACAAGGAAGCCAACTCATCCACCGAATAAACCCTAATCTTCTTGTAGTCATTTCTGGACTAAACTATGACAATGATCTAAGCCATCTAAAGAAAAGGCCTCTAGGCTACACTTTACATAACAAAGTAGTGTTGGAGGCACATCTCTACTCGTTCAGTGGAGATCATGAAAGCAAGTTCACAAAGAATCCATTAAATGTAATATGCGACCAAATCATGGAGAAGTTTGAAAAGGAAGCCGGGTTTGTGGTGGACATGGAGAATCCATATCCTTTGTTCCTTAGTGAATTCGGGTACGATCAATCGGGTGGAAACGACGCTCAAAATCGATTCATGAGCTGCTTTTTAGCTCGAATTGTAGAGAAGGATATTGATTGGGCATTGTGGGCTTTCCAAGGAAGTTATATGTACCGACAAGGACATCAAGATATTGAAGAAAGTTTTGGTGTTATGGATTATTCTTGGACTAAAGATCGTAACCCTAAACTTCAACAATTACTTCAACTTGCCAAGAGAATCAACCAAGGTTTGTCGTTTCTGAATTATCTATATGAATCCTATATATATTTTTTGGTCAGAATTTGAAACCAAAGTTTGTTTTTGCAGATCCAAATTCAAAAGAACCAATGTCATACATAATGTTACACCCAGCATCGGGACAATGTGTCAAGTCCAATAGCAACGGAGAAGCTGAACTTGGTGATTGTACAGCACCGACCCAATGGAACCATACTGGAGATGCAAGTTTGATGAAGTCGTCAAGCGGGAAATGTTTGAAGTCTGCTGGAGATGGAAAGTCGCCGGTGGTATCTGATGATTGCTCCGGTGATGGAAGCAATTGGACGGTGGCTTCCAAAGCAAAGCTTCAATTGGCCACCAAAATTGGTGAGGACAACTTTTGTTTGGAAAAGGAATCTGATACTTCAATTGTGGTGAAGAAATGCATTTGTCTAGACCAGGGGAGTTGCATGGATGATCCTCAAAGCCAATGGTTCAAGCTTATTCCAACCAATGTTGCTTAGTTTATTTATCAATTTTAATTAGAAATTTAGAATTTTGTTCAATTTCTATTGGAATTGGAATTTGGTGGAATTTGGTAGGGGTTTGGCATGAAAGTTTTGTAAATGCCATGGTAGTGTTTTAGGATGGTAGATTTTGTTCTTAAATCATATTTGGTCAATAATCTTTTCGTATTCAAACGAGCATGAGTCTTTTCGTATTCGAACGAGCATGAGTCTTTTCGTATTCGAACGAGCATGAGTCTTTTCGTATTCGAACGAGCATGAGTCTTTTCGTATTCGAACGAGCATGAGTCTTTTCGTATTCGAACGAGCATGAGTCTTTTCGTATTCGAACGAGCATGAGTCTTTTCGTATTCGAACGAGCATGAGTCTTTTCGTATTCGAACGAGCATGAGTCTTTTCGTATTCGAACGAGCATGAGTCTTTTCGTATTCGAACGAGCATGAGTCTTTTCGTATTCGAACGAGCATGAGTCTTTTCGTATTCGAACGAGCATGAGTCTTTTCGTATTCGAACGAGCATGAGTCTTTTCGTATTCGAACGAGCATGAGTCTTTTCGTATTCGAACGAGCATGAGTCTTTTCGTATTCGAACGAGCATGAGTCTTTTCGTATTCGAACGAGCATGAGTCTTTTCGTATTCGAACGAGCATGAGTCTTTTCGTATTCGAACGAGCATGAGTCTTTTCGTATTCGAACGAGCATGAGTCTTTTCGTATTCGAACGAGCATGAGTCTTTTCGTATTCGAACGAGCATGAGTCTTTTCGTATTCGAACGAGCATGAGTCTTTTCGTATTCGAACGAGCATGAGTCTTTTCGTATTCGAACGAGCATGAGTCTTTTCGTATTCGAACGAGCATGAGTCTTTTCGTATTCGAACGAGCATGAGTCTTTTCGTATTCGAACGAGCATGAGTCTTTTCGTATTCGAACGAGCATGAGTCTTTTCGTATTCGAACGAGCATGAGTCTTTTCGTATTCGAACGAGCATGAGTCTTTTCGTATTCGAACGAGCATGAGTCTTTTCGTATTCGAACGAGCATGAGTCTTTTCGTATTCGAACGAGCATGAGTCTTTTCGTATTCGAACGAGCATGAGTCTTTTCGTATTCGAACGAGCATGAGTCTTTTCGTATTCGAACGAGCATGAGTCTTTTCGTATTCGAACGAGCATGAGTCTTTTCGTATTCAAACGAGCATGAGTCTTTTCGTATTCAAACGAGCATGAGTCTTTTCGTATTCAAACGAGCATGAGTCTTTTCGTATTCAAACGAGCATGAGTCTTTTAGTATTCAAACGATGGAACATATTTTGGAATAGCACATGCAAAATTTATGCGATCACTCAAGCAATAACTACACTCCATCCCTTTGGATAAAAAAAGGGTAGTACTTGTAGTACAGAAATATTCATATTGTTGTCCCTTGATCTTAGGGCCCAATGAACAAACTTTGACACCTTGTGGAGGAACATTCCCTTGAGTTTTTGGGGCATTTAGCGGTAATTTCTTTTTAAAATAATGTCATGTTATTGAATCGAATTGATAATTTTAGAACTGAATTTTCTTATAAGGGTGTGAAAATCTAAGATCCCACACAAATTGCGAAACATTCTTATAAGGTGTGGAAACCTAATATACCACATAAATTACGACACATTTTTATAAGGGTGTGAAAACCATATCTGCTTGGGCTGTTACAAGTGGTATTAGAGCTAGACACCGGGTGATGTACCAGCGAGGCACTGAGCCCTGAAGGGAGGTGGACACCGGGTGGTGTGCCAGCGAGAACGTTGAGCCCAGAATGGGGTGGATATTGTGAGTTTCCACATCGATTGGAGAGAGGAACGAGCGAGAACGTTGAGCCCAGAATGGGGTGGATATTGTGAGTTTCCACATCGATTGGAGAGAGGAACGAGTGTCAGCGAGGACGTGAGCAATGAAGGGATGTGGACATCGGACGATGAGCCAGCGAGGACACTGGGCCCCGAAGGGAGGTGCATTGTGAGATCCCAAATCAATTGGAGAGAGGAACGAGTGCGCAAGACTGGGCCCCGAAGGGAGGTGCATTGTGAGATCCCAAATCAATTGGAGAGAGGAACGAGTGCGCAAGGACGTTGGGCCTCAAAGGGAGGTGGACATCGAGCGGTGGTGTGCCAGCAAGGACACTGAGCCCTGAAGGGAGGTTGACACCAGGTGGTGTACCAGCGAAGACGCTAGGCCCAAAAAAGGGGGTGGATTGTGAGATCCCACATCGATTGAAGAGAGGAACGATTGCCAGCAAGGACGTTGGGCCCCGAAGGTAGGTGGACATCAAATGGTGTGCCAACAAGGACACTGGGCCTCGAAGGGGATAGATTGTGAGACCCAACATCGATGGGAGAGAGAAATGAGTGTCAGTGAGGACGTTGGGCTCTGAAGGGAGGTGGATTTCAAGATCCTACATCGGTAGGAGAGGGAAACAAAGTATTATTTATAAGGGTTTGGAAACCTCTCTATAGCCGATTCGTTTTAAAAACCTTGAGAGGGAGCTTGAAAAGGAAAGCCCAAAGAGGACAATATCTACTAGTGGTGTGGGCTTGAGCAATTATATTAGCCAATCAGAAAGAAAGGACCACACAACAGCCTGTAAGCTAGTAGAGACTCGAGGTCACTCCCCTTGAAATTATATTATTAGGATACAAGACGGGAACTACGAAAAGTCGGTAATTGTACTTGTAAGTTGGTTATGCTAGAGTCGTATGCATGTGTTCTGTAGTATTATTAGGTTATCACCTGGGGATCATTCATTGGTTATGCTAGAGTCGTATGCATGTGTTCTGTAGTATTATTAGGTTATCACCTGGGGATCATTCAAAGGATCTCCAACTATTTTTTCGACATTGAATATGCTCTATAGAACTATTATAGAAAAGACAACTAGTAGATTTTTTTGTGAGACAGAAGTCATATATATCTTAAAGTTGAATTATGGTAGAGGTGGCACCCCCACCTTATCATGCTTTGATTTGAAAACAGGGGAATGATGGAGTGCAACCTGACTTTAATAATGTACTCAAGGAAGCTTGGTCACATGACTTTAATAATCCAAGGATGTTCAATAGAGCTTGATATTGTTAACCAAATCATTGGATAGGGTCATAAGATTAGTTCAGCCAAGCGTTAAAATGTATATTTGGAGAATGAAAACTCTATGCGAGAGCTCAGGTAAACTTGGAGATGGTATTAGCAAAACTTGGAGATGGTATTAGCTAAGCTTGGAGGAGCTATACGAGTCTTAACCTTACAATACTTTGATGATAACCTAAGGGTGAGAATCTAGGTCATTACACCAAGAGACCTATTAGTAAACACATGTTATACCGATCCATAGAGTTTATAGATATGGTTGATATCTATTTGTGAGCCTACGAATGAGCTACTTATTGAATAGCTTTGTACTCACGTGTGCTAATCTTTTTTTCTCTGGCAAACGGTACCTAAGATAATAATTAGTAACTAACATATTCTAAAAGTTAGGATGCTATGAAGTTGGTTTGATTAGAGTCTTATATAGACTCGAGAACGTCGGTTGTAAATGTGTTTGAGACATGTTACATGTCGGCTTGTATACTTCGAATTTTATTATAATAATTTTTTAGATTAATTTTATTATAATAATTTTTTAGATTAAGTTATTTAGCCTCGAAAGGAACCGACATGGTAGGAGATAAAGAGATTGAAAATAGTGGTTAATAATTAGTGAAATGGTTTTTTACATTAATAAACTCCTAATGAGAGCAGCCTCGGCGCTATCGTTTTGTGTTGCGGCCAAGAGTTGCGACAATCGATCACTTAAATCATTCATTTCCCCATGTAAGCTCCTTATGTAATTGCACGTTTCTTGCAACACTTCTGAAGCTGACACCTACGCAAAAAATAATAAATTAAGTACACTATAGAGCCTCCTCGAGACCTATGGAACCCTCGAACAACCTTCCCTTAATAGAGGCTCGACTCCTTTTATGGAGTCCTAAAACAAAGTACATCATTTGTTCAACACTAGAGTTACTTTTGACTATACATTCGAGGCTAGCAACTTATTTGTTCAACATTTGGAGATTCTATTGACATTGCTAATTTAAGAGCATAACTCTAATAGTATATTAGGAATCACGACTATCCACTTCCTACGTTAGCTAATTTAGAGAATGATCATGGGTTTATAAGTAAGGAATACATCTTCATTGATACGAGACCTTTTGAGAAAACCCAAATCAATGTCATGAGAGTTTATGCTCAGAGTGGACAATAACATACCATTGTAGAGATTTGTGATTCCTAACATGGTATTAGAGTCATGCCCTTAACTTAGTCATGTCAATAGAATCCACAAATGTCGTGGTCCTCAAAGGTGTAGTCAAAAGTGACTCAAGTGTTAAACAAATTGGGTACTTTGTTCGAGGACTCTAGAGAAGGAGTCGAGCCTCAATTAATGGGAGGCTGTTCGAGGGCTCCATAGGCCTCAAGGGAGGCTCTATAGTGTAGTTTGTTCGAGGGGAGGATTGTTGGGAGGGAGTCCCACCTTGACCCATATTGCCTAATTTAGGGAATGATCATATAAGTTTATAAGTAAAGAATACATCTACATTGGTATGAGATCTTTTGGGAAAATCCAAATCAAAACCACCAGAGTTTATATCAAAGTGGATAATATCATACCATTGTGAGAGTCGTGATTCCTAACAATCCTCAAAACATTTGGTTATGTGATATCATAACGTGATTGTAAAGCATAAAGCACAAACAAAATCATTATCGAACGGATGAAATAATGGGTGAGTAGAAGAGTTAGGGTCCCGTTTTCATGTGTTGTTGGAGGAAATGGAAAAGAAGAATTAGTAGTTGTATGGAATGATTCATTGACGTTGACAGCCCACTCACTTTCATGTGTTTTTCTAGAAAGGTTGAAAAACTTCTATCTAATAAATTTATTTTAAAATAGTTCAAAACAGATCATATCTACAATTATTTTATTAATATAGGTGAACACTATTATTATTATTATTATTATTATTATTATATTTTTATAAAATAATTATAAGCTGAATTCTTATCATTAAATTAAGAAAAAAAAAATGAAATTGTCGCCATTCATAATCCCAACGCCAAACACGCCCCATCAATTTGAACGAACTCCAATATGAAATGAATAAATACAAATTTTAGATTAAAAAAAAAAAAAACTCCAAAGGGAACCTTTCCTCTTCCTTGAGGCTTCTGCAAGCTTCACCTTCCATTTTAATTTCACAATCACTGCCAATGGGTAACTGCCTAGATTCTTCTGCTAAAGTTGAAACTTCCCACAGCTCCCAAGCGACTTCCGGTAAGAGTTTTCGAGTTTTGCCTGATGGTTTCTGAGTTTCCGCTGGATTTTTTGGTGGATTCTGCTATTTCTCTTCTTCTTTTTGCTGTGTTCTTACCAAATTTGAAATAGGGTTTTTGGTTTAGCGATATTGTATAGCTTCGTAGTGTTCGTACTTCAAAAATTGGTTCCAAGTTTCAGATTCATTTTTCTGATTGGGAAGAAAAAGATTTAGGAGTAGAAATTTATTTCAAACTCCTACAAAATCCAACCATTTTTATTAGTTTTTTTTTACAATTAGAAACAAGATTTGAAATCCTTGTTTCAAGAGATGATAAACAAGAGAAATCATTTCAAATATTTCAAAATCTTTGTGAAAACAAACAGGCCATCAAGTGTTCTTGCACTTTAAACCGTTTCTAGGCCATTAAACTTCATTTTTGTTCAACAAATCTCTATATTAGTTTACTTAGTTCAACAATTATGCATCCAAACACTGATATCCCCCCCTACAATTAGCTGCAAGGGTGGAGAAAAGAACAAAGGGCGCTAACTTTTTAAAATGGAAAGATATTGCATCTAAAAAATTAGAAGGTCAAATTCTCCCCCTACCTCTGAAATTTATGGCTCCGCCCCTATTAGATGGTTACATTAATCTAAAATGAAAGCATTAAATGGACCTAATTAACGACAAGACGTATTAGACATATAATTAAACGATTAGAGATTTATAAGTAACTTTCTTAAGTACAGGGTCCCAAGCGATGCGACGCGAAAGTTTTTGAGATATTTTAGAAACTTTGTAATCTTTTGATAGGATGTTCTGTTAATGAATTTAAATTTGCAATAACCAATGATTTCCTCTGTTTGTTCTTCTTGATGGATTAGAAATCTCCCGAAGTTCAAGCAAGAAATGTCATCCATTAGTTCCTTCCAATCTTCTTAGCTCATTGGAAGATAGGAACCAAAACATATCGAGTCTTACCACATCAACACCAGAAGGTGAAATATTGTCATCTTCCAATTTGAAGCCTTTCTCTTTCAGTGAACTCAAGAATGCAACTAGAAATTTTCGACCCGACAGTCTGTTGGGTGAAGGGGGATTTGGTTGTGTTTTCAAAGGATGGATTGATGAAAACACATGGGCCGCTACAAGGCCAGGATCGGGAATTGTTGTTGCTGTCAAGAAGCTTAAGCTTGAAGCTCCCCAAGGCCACAAGGAGTGGTTGGTATGTAGCTTACTTGACACACTCTCTCTCTCTCTCTCTCTCTCTCTCTCTCTCTCTCTCTCTCTCTCTCTCTCTCTCTCTCTCGTATGTTCCTTTTCGGTTGTATGTTCGTGTCTGCTACTAACTGCATACGAATTTCAGACAGAAGTTAATTATTTGGGAAAATTTCATCACCCAAATCTAGTTAAGCTGATTGGGTATTGCTTGGAAGGCAAGAATCGGTTATTGGTGTACGAGTTTATGCCGAGAGGGAGTTTGGAGAATCATCTCTTCAGAAGTAAGTTCCTGGGAAATAGCATTTACCTTACTTCTATCCTGTGGATGCCTCATATGGTTGACTCTGCTTGATTTAATACAATTCTATGGATTCAGTTTCTTGAATATTCTTCGTTGAAATATGTTTGCTTCTCTCTCTCAAATGCTATAATTATCAGTTGCCAACTTGCCACATTGTAAAGGTAGTTAACAGTTTGTGTATGTATGCTGATGAAAGTTCATCTTTTTGCAGTTTATTTTTCTTGCATGTTAATTTCTAAAACTTATGATTATTATGAAGCATATTGAAAAGAATTTATATTATGATCTTCTTTAGGAGAGATCCCAAGGATTATTACTGAATCAACAGAATCTTATCCGTTGCTTTTGTTAGCCATTTGGATTGGCCTAGTGGTCGGGCAATATGATTAGTAAAAGGTTAGAGGGAATGAGTTCAAGCTATATTGACCATTTTTCTTGAATTTAATATCTTATGAGTTATCTTGGAAATAAAATGTAGCAGGGTTAGGTGGTTGGTTTTTGAGATTAGTTGAGATGTGCGCAAGATGACCCACTCATGGGTATTAAAAAAAGAATAATCAGTTGCCTGCTTTACTTGAATATTGAGGAATCCAAAGAGGTACGTGAACTATAGTTTTACTTCTCATTCCAACATGATGAATGATGGTCCTCTTAGATATTCCTTATATATTGTAACGGCCAAAGTCCACCATTTGCAGATATTATCCTCTTTGAGCTTTTCCTTTTAGGCTTCCCCTTGCTAAAACACGTCCTTGCTGGCACTTGTTCCCTTCTTTAATCAATGTGGGACCCCCCCCCCCAATCCACCCCTTTCTTGTTAGTACACTACCTCGTGTCCACCCCCTTTGGGGCTCAGCCTCCTCGCTGGCACATCGTCTAGTGTCTGACTCTGATACCATTTGTAACGGTTCAAGTCCACCGCTAGCAGGTATTGTTCTCTTTGGGCTTCCCCACAAAGTTTTTAAAACGTGTTTGCTAGGGAGAGGAATCCACACCCTTATAAAGAATGATTCGTTCTCCTTCCCAACTGATATGGGATCTCATATATACTTTTTTTTGAAGTTGGAGCTGTATTACTTTACATAGGACTAAGAGTACTCGAAGATCTAAATGGTCTTCGCATCTTGATGATGTTGCATATTACCCTCTATTCTTTACAAGTTTATAATGGGAAAAATGCTTGCATGTTATCCTCTTTACTAGTTTATAGTGAGATAAGTACTTTCACATGATTTTGGATTTTGATATGAACAACTTGGGAGATTCACACTTTATTTTTGCTTCTGAAATTCAACAAACTTACCTGCTAAGTTCTGTTGTGCCAGCGTGTTCCCAACCTCTTTCTTGGGCAGTAAGGATCAAAGTGGCCATAGCTGCCGCCAGAGGTCTTTCTTTTCTTCACGAAGCCGAATCACCCGTCATTTATCGCGATTTCAAGGCATCCAACATCCTACTTGATGCAGTAAGGCAGCTCTTCTTGTTAAGAACACAAATGATATATGATCTTATTGTAGGAATTGTTAATGGTAATTTTGAGCATTGTTAATGCAGGAATTCAATGCTAAGCTTTCTGATTTTGGTTTGGCGAGGGCTGGTCCCACTGGAGATAGAACTCATGTAACTACTCAAGTTATGGGGACTCGAGGCTATGCTGCACCTGAATATGTTGCTACAGGTTCGTAACATACCCTATATTTCATATTGTGGTGACTTTCTCTCTTTCATTTACATAAGTTGATTTTCTCTCTTTTTCCATTTTATAACGCAAGAGACACCAGGAATTTGAAACTTAGTTCCAAAAGTACAAAATAATATCCACGGAGTCGAATCAAAATGGTTTTCAAAATATTGAAATTTCGAGAAGCAACATTAAAATAATATTATAATGACCAAGAAGAAAGATAGACTCGATCTAAGGGATGCCCCTGCAGTTGCATGGCTTTGCACGCTCTTGTTGCCGATGGTGGTCTATACTCCATCTGAAAAAAGAAAAGAAAAACATGAATGAATATAAAAATACCCCGTAAGCAACCTACTTGTAAAGGTTCGCCGGACTTAATCCTTAGGATGGTCTCTCAAGGTATGTGCTCATATTTTGACTCTAGCATTAGCCAATGTCATGTTCGATACTAACCCTATAAGGCTTATACGTACCAAAATCCTAAACACGCATACTCTAGGGTGTATAACTAAGCCCCTCTGAGCCAGTAATGTAGAGTTAGGTTGTACTTGGCCTTTTCTTT